GTACTCTCTGAGGGAACGCTGGGTTGCTAGTACAGGGTCACTGGCTACGGGTTCAGGTTGATGGGTTGTGACCTGGGGTAGGGGCTCCTGTTGTGGTGGCTGAAGTGTCTCTGGCACTGTTGGTTCTAGTGGTGGTTCACTCGGAAGGGCCTCCTCGATGCTCAGGGGGTCGGGCTGAACACTGGGCTCGGGGGTGTAGGTGCCATTCCCTGTAGTCCACGGTGGAAGTTTTCCAGCCTCCGGAAGCTGTCGCCACCTCAGTTGGACAAGGTGCTTTTTAAGGAGCCTGCTGTCTTCTGTCGATACGTCGTAAGATACCGGGGTTCCCGTTCCGTAGTTCCAGATGAACACCGGGTTGCTCGGGAAGAACCCTCTTGGAGCCTCCCACTGTTCAACCCTCATCTTGGAGTCTGGTGCCCTGTCTGGGTGTAGCCTATCCAACAAGGTCGCGGGGTGTTGACCCATCAATAATTCTGCAGGGCTTTGGCCAGTGATGGGGTTAGGTGTCATCCTCTGTGTCAGGAGGAAGCGGGCTAGCCAGAACTCCCAGTCCCCATCCGTTATCCTGCTGAGGGCTTCCTTTGCGGTACGCACCATCCTCTAGGCCTGGCTGTTGGTCGCGGGGCGGAAGGGTGCAGATCGGATGTGCCGTATCAGGTTCGTTTGGAAAAAGTCCTGGAACTCCACCAATGTGAAGGCTGCCCCATTGTCTGAGACTATCGTGTCCAGCAGCCTGTGGGTAGCAAAGATCCAGCGGAGGGACCGGATCACGGCCTTCGTAGAGGTGGTAGACATGGGACTGATCTCCAGCCACTTTGAGTAGGAATCAACTTTTACTAAGAATAACAGTCCCTGGAATGGTCCGGCAAAATTGATGTGGAGCCGGGACCATGGTTTGCGGGTTGACTCCCACTGCTGTGTTGGTGCGCTTGGCGGATTGGGCTCTACTTTTTGGCAGGTTTGGCACCTCTGGACCCACGACTCTCTCGGCGTCGATTCCCGGCCACCACACATAGCTCCGGGCCAGTGCCTTCATCTGTACGATGCCCGGATGTGCCTTGTGGAGTGCTGTGAGGACCCTCAGTCGCAGGGCGCTGGGGACCACGACCCGGTCACCCCACAGAAGACATCCCTTCAGGTCCCAGAGTTCCTCTTTCCTTGTGCTGAAAGCCGCGAACTCGGGCCCCAGGGATGATGTGGGAAAACCCCTCACCACCCAGCCCAAGACCTGGGAAAGGAGGGGGTCGTGGGCTGAATGTGCAGCGACATCGGCAGCTTGCAGAGGAGGCTCCGAAAGGCCTTCGATGAGCAGGACCCCAGGTGCAGGAGCAGGATCAGTGTTTGTGGACGGCAGCGGCAGCCGGTTCAGGGCATCGCCATGTCCCATCACCTTGCCCGGGTGGTGCTCCAGGTGGTACTGGTAACCAGCCAGGAAGAGAGACCATCTGCGGACCGGGGGCGACAGGACTTGGGGAGTCTGCTTGTCAGCAGCAAAGAGGCTGAGGAGGGGCTTGTGGTCTGTTGTGATCGTGAAGGGGTGCCCATAAACGAAGTTATGAAACTTCTTGACCCCGAAGTTATGAAACTTCTTGACCCCGGCCACAATTGCCAAGCCCTCCCTGTCGATTTGCGCGTAATTGTGCTCTGCTGCCATTAAGGTCCTGGAGTAATAGGCCACAGGAACCTCACGACCATCAGGGAGGATGTGGCCCAGGACTGCGCCGACACCATATGGGGAGGCGTCACACGCGAGGACCACTGGCAGGGATTCATCAAAATGGGCCAGCACGTTGTTGGAAATTAAAAGCACCTCAACCCCCCTGAATGCTGCCGCTTCCTTCGGGCCCCATGACCAAGGAGCCGACTTGTCTAGGAGGCAGTGTAGGGGCTCCACCACTGCTGCCTTGTGCAGCAGAAAGGCTTGATAAAAATTTATTAGTCCCAAAAATGCCTGCAGCTCTGCCTTACAAGTGGGTACAGGGGCCTCCACGATGGCCTCCACCTTGTCCTTAGTGGGATGGAGGCTGGCGGCGTCAACGCAGAACCCCAGAAAGTCCACTTCCAGAACCCCGAGGAGACATTTCTCCCACTTTACTTTCAGGCCAGCTGAGTCGAAACGTTGCAAGACTGTGCGGAGGCGGGAGGTAAAGTCATCTGGGGTGGCCACTGCGAAGCGGACGTCATCAAAGAACGGCATCACTCCAGGGATCCCTTTTAACAAGGAGTCCATTAATTGTAGGAATATCCTGGGGGCCACACTCACCCCGAACTGCAGCCTTTTTACCTTAAAAGCCCCCCTGTGCGTAACTATGGTTTGGGCCGTGGCGTCATCCACTGGCAACTGTTGGTAGGCTTGTGCCAGATTGAGTTTGCCGAAAATCTTAGCACCCGCCAGAGAAGCCAGGACGTGACTCACAACCGGGACCGGGTAGGAGTGGTCGTGGAGGGCCTTATTTAGTGTGCATTTGTAGTCCGCACAGATGCGGACGTCACCATTGGGTTTAACTGGGGTTACAATTGGTGTTTCCCAGATTGCGTGTGATACTGGCTCTAGGACCCCCTGTGCCACTAAGCGGTCCAGTTCTGCATCTATTTTTGGCCGGAGGGCAAGTGGAGCGGTGCGGAAGCGCATGCGAATAGGGGCCACATTGGGGTCAAGCTGTAAGGAAACCAGGGCCCCTTTATAACACCCTAAAGCCCCATCGAACACAGCAGGGAACTCTCCGCATACCTCCGCAAAGTCCCTTGTTATACAGTTATTAACCCCCCTGATTGTAATGCCCAACGGCGCAAACCATGCCTGGCCCAGCAAACTGACAAGATTTCCCTCCACCACAATCAAGTCCAGAAGTCCCTCAAAACCTCTGTACTGCACCCTGAAAGTTCCCACACTCTGGATAGGAACTGGGTTCCTTTGAAAGTCCACCAAACATAGAGGGGAAGGGCGTAAGCAGGGTCCGGCAGGACTTACGCTCATGCATCTCTCCGCAGCTGGTGCACAAGAAATGGCCGGCGGTCTTCCTGGAGGATCCTGATGCTGCGGGTCCTGGTGGCTTACGGTGGGAGGGTAGACGGATGAGACAGACGTCCTCCTTGTCGGAGTTCTCAGGTACCAAGTCGGGGAGCACAAGATGAGATGCAGAAGAGGGACGGTCGCAGTGGGAGGCCTCGTGTGCGATGGCAAGTTGGAAGGCCTCCTCGATCTTGATGTCGGCATTACTGATCATCTTCCTCCGCAGCTTTATGTAGCTGATGCCCCAGGCGAATTGCGTTAGGAGGTTCTCCTCCACCTTCGTGAAGGCACAGTCCATAGCCAGCTGGTGCAGGGCTGCCATAAAAGCAACGGCCGACTTACCCCGTTTCTGGATGCGGCCCTGGAACTCTATCCGCCTGGCAAGTGTTGTTGGCCAGGGTGTGAGGTACTTCATCAGGGCATTGATGATTTCCTCATAAGAACACTTGAGGATAACCCGGGGTGCTAGGAGACTCTTTGCGAGTCGAATGGTGTTTACGCTGCAGGAACTGAGGAGAAGGGCCTGTTGTTTGCCCGGATCAGTTACCTCATTGTAGGTGAGGTGGCAGGTCAGTTGGTCCGTCCATAAGTCCCAGAGTTCAGGATGGGCTGGATCAAAGATCTCCAGGTTTCCTTGAGCGGAGGCCATGGCTTTGGTGTGGAGCGGGGAGCGGTGTCCTGGATGCAGTGTGTGATGTGGTGCTGCTCGGGAGCGATGTGGGGTGTGGTGGCGTCAGCTGGATCGATGCTCAGTGCTGCGCTGGGATGCAAGCCAGGCCTGGTTCAGCGGAATCCCATCCTTGTCGCCACTGAAAAGTACTGTGTTCACCGCATGGTGCACTCGGACAACGACATGTGTTTGCACCCATTTATTGTACTACACACTGGAACTGAAAAACAGCCCTGCAAGGCCAACACCCACCCAGCACACCCACAGTCCCGTTGGAGAGTTTGAATTTCCCGCCAAAGCTGCTGTTGGTGAATGCTGGGAGAACTAGGATCCTAGGTTCCTATTGTTTAAAGGAGCTCAGCTCCGACTCTAGCCGCGGACTCCTGGTGGTGGTCTGCATACATAACACCACCAATAGGCCACAGCCCTTTTTGACATAAAAAGCACAGAAACACAGGTCTCTGCCATGTGAAAAGGAGCTGGCCCTGGGAGTGAAATCCTGCAGTTCTTGGTTGCTCTTATGCTGCTGGTCTGTGGCTATACAATTCAAGAGCCACTTCATACCTTGCTCCCTTGTTTCCTCATCCCACCGCTCTGCTTGATTCCATACAGTGAGAAGTGGCAGAGCTGGGTCCTCCTTGGTCCCTGCCTTCTTTAAATGCTGCCTGGTGGTGATAAAGGCATCCCATGCCAGTCTGGTAATCAACCAGGCAGGCAGCAGCACCCAGACGTCTCTGTGTGTGGCCACTTTCTCACATCAAATGTAAGTCATGTGATTGTGATTTCCCCCCCCCCCCATGAAGAGCCCTACTGGATCAGTCCGTGTGTTCCAACATCTTGTTTCACACAGTGGCCAACCAGTTGCTCTGGGAGGCCAACAAACAAAGGCCTTGTCACTTCTGAACCCGTCAGAGATCAATTTCATGGGGTGCTCCTGAGTGTTACTATTATCGGACAGGAAGAAAACGTCCTTCATAGGCTTCATCCCATGGAGAGGGGGGCGGGAAGCACAGCCCAGCCGCCGCTGGAGAGCTTGTGTGGATCGCAACTGCCTTCTTACACACACAAACGACTGGGGCAAAAGAGGGCTCTTTCCAGGGTGAGAAGAACTGGTTTCCAGAGTGTGTGCTTCACGCCACAGGAATCACCGCAGTCCCTGACCGACAGCCTGGTCCTCGGTTCAGGTGCAAAGGCCGTCCGCAAAGGGCAGCCTGGAAGTCAGGCGCACGTCGAAGCCTCGTCAACCGCCACAGCAGCGCCTCCAGGTCCTTCCGCGTTGCTCCGCCTCCTGCCACAGTGTCAGTCGGGCAGAAGCGCCGCGCAGGCGCCTGGAACGGCTGCCGATTTCCTCTCTGCGATGCTGGGCTCAGCCTAGCAGCGAGGGAAGGCGCAGGATGGGCTGTCGCGTTGGCCGCGCTCTCGGGCCGCTGGCGTTTTTGTGCGCCTTCTTGTGCCTCTTGTGGCGTCTCCCCGGGGCCGACGGCTTCAGGAGGAGAGGACCCACCGTGACCGCTAAGGTGACTATAAGCCCGCGGGGAGCAAGGCTAGGATAGCCCTGCTCCAAACTGGGGAGCTCGAAACAACCGGGGGGGGGGGGGGGTTCAGGCAGTTCGGGGACTCGTTGGCAGCCGGGGAGAATCTCCTCCGTCTTCCAGCATCCTCTTCCTCGACCATGTCTGCACGGAAGCCAGCTCCGACGTGCATGATCGTAGGGTGGGTTGTCAGGGTTGCCAAAGCCACCTCTCTCTTTCCAGACATGACTCCCGTGCTTTTAACAGTTGCATCACGGACAGAAATTCAACAAGCAAAGCTTTCCTAAAGCGGTCCATTTTTATTCTGGCAAGCTAGCACTTGTTGGAATTCCGCTGCTGTGAAAGATGCAGGCTGCCAGAAAAGTGTTGGCTGCTTTGCGAGGCATACCCATAATAATAGCAGCTTTGCTTGCGAAGCTTCTCTTTTTTTTTTCTTTCCCTCCACTTTTTGAGAACAAATCTTGATTGTGCTTCTTCAGGACAGGGAGGATATAGGTTGTGATCCACCCTGTACTGGGTGGCACATGTCCTAATAAAAACATCTGCATATCTTATGAAACTTTGCTAATGCCAGGAAAACAGCTGTGTTAGTCTGTTGCAGCAAAATCAAACAGGAGTTCAAAAGCGTCTTAAAGGCTAACAAAATTCAATCCAGTTTTTGTGAGTCAGACTTCACTTCATCAGATGTATGGGGTGTCTCCATCCTTAAGAACATAAGAACATAAGAGACGCCAATGTTGGATCAGGCCAAAGGCAGATCCAGTCCAACACTCTGTGTCACACAGTGGCCAGAAATACCAGTGCCATCAGGAGGTCCAGCAGTGGGGCCAGGACATTAGAAGCCCTCTCGCTGTTGACCCCCCCCCCCCAAGCACCAAGAAGACAGAGCATCACTTGCCCCAGAGCCCCTAGCTATACCTTATGGCTAATAGCCACTGATGTCTTTCCCTCCACTTTTTGAGAACAAATCTTGATTGTGCTTCTTCAGGACAGGGAGGATATAGGTTGTGATCCACCCTGTACTGGGTGGCACATGTCCTAATAAAAACATCTGCATATCTTATGAAACTTTGCTAATGCCAGGAAAACAGCTGTGTTAGTCTGTTGCAGCAAAATCAAACAGGAGTTCAAAAGCGTCTTAAAGGCTAACAAAATTCAATCCAGTTTTTGTGAGTCAGACTTCACTTCATCAGATGTACGGGGTGTCTCCATCCTTGTTCTGTTTCTTGAACAACAAATTTAGCTGCTTGGATGGACACTATACATCTAATGAAGTGAGCTCTGTCTCTCACAAGCCTTATGCTGGAATCAGTGTTGGTAGTCATTTCTGTGCCCCTCCCCACCCACTCTGCCCATAAAGCTCCTGAGGATACCAGCCACTGGCCTTGCATCCCTACCCGTTGATGAGACGATGCTGGACTTTATGTTGGGATTGGCATTCAATACCTTTCTGGATTTTTGTGGCAGGCATCACAAACACTAGATATTTGCTGAAGAAGCAAAACTTCTTGATATTTAAACAAAAGAAAAGTATTGAGCAAAGTTGAATGTAAACCGGATAGTTATATTTAACGAGCCTCTGGTCTCTTCATATGTGCTCACAATCCAAAACAGCATACTATCAGCATGAAGTAGCTGGTACCAGATGAGTGTAATAAGAACTGCTTCAAAGGTTTCAGGAACAGAGGAAGCAAGAGTGGCCCAGACTTCCTGTCTACACTCTTCCAGATCCTCTCTCAAGGGGAAAAATGTGCTATTGGGTAGTGATTTCCTTATAATAATGTTTTCATAGATAGGTTTTGGGGGGAAAACTGGCAGAATTTTATGCAGGTACACCTGGTTTCAGATAGAAATGTGCTCCCTACTACTTGCTGAGCTGGATGGAAGGTAGAGGTTAGGTAGACAGCTTTGGCCTGTCTAGTGTTTGGAACAATGCCCTGGGCAATCAGTATCTTTGATTTGGGGTCCCTTGACACTGCTAATGGCACTGTTGAAATATCAGGCTTATGATGCTCATGAAAACGAGCCTCTTGGATTGTCTGGACTGCTTGATGAATGTTAGCACTCTTTTGCACACATTGAAGAGATGCGGTATAATACATAGAGGCAAGTAAGTGTACACATAGTGTGAACAGAGTTCCATCGATCCCACTAGTGCCAAACTTCAGTAGCCACTGCTGGTAAGATCAATGCTAAACATTTTATTCTGTTCCCACTGATGTAGTTTGGTCTGGCTGTAGCCTTTAATCAATGATCAGTGCTCAGAAGAAGAAACACACACTGTACTAGAGAGTTCCCCATTGTACGTATTACTTACATAGATTTTGTTCCCTGCATTTTACGTTGGAGGCAACCTAGACTGTCCTCAGCATTTTCTTCTTTGACAATAGGACCAACTATGTCCTGACTGGGAGACTCACAGCCAATGGTCCCTCTAAGCTGTGCAGTCCTGTGAACAAAAATTCTACTTTGTGAGCTACTGGCATTAAAGTTGTGAGGAAACGATTTGTCTGCTGCATAGATTAGTTTGCTCTGGAGCCATCCTTCCTGAGTTAAGACAAAAATGTGTGAGCTGGAGGCTAAAAAGCTGTGAGCTAGCTCACACTAACTCACCTTAGGGGGAACACTGCTCACAGCCAGTGCTGCTTCATGTATTTTCCCCCTTCTCTCTCCTATCAAAGCAATGAGTGCAATGGTATTGCAACATATTGCACCTTCCCCACAACTGATAGCAAATTATATGAAGTAGGACAAATCAATACACAGTGCTATAACGTCTTTGTGTATACTTGACATTATCAGAAAAAGAGAAGAGACATGGAACAGGAGCAAGTCCATTACTTTTGTAATGTCTAGTTCTGCCATTATTTAGTACCAACATGTTGCTTTGTTCCTATAAAGACTGAATTCTTATTAACTCCTCAGTATGTGCAGATCATCTGTGGTTATTTATGCTAGGCAAGTGGAATATATGTTGAATTTCATATACTATAGTTACCTGTGTATATCTGTTTCTTAGCCGGTTTAGCTATAGCAGAAGATAGCAAATGCCAGGTGTGTTCTCCTCTTTGATGATGTATAGATCTTGGAAGGTATTCTAATTCCCTTATATCAGTAGTAGTTGCAGTAACTAGTGAGGTTCAACAGGCACACTATCAAAACCAATTGACGAGGAACCCAAGACTTCCCTCCCCCTTTTAAATTATTTTTAAGACATGAAAGGCCTGAAAAGTTGAATGCATATTGTTATGTTTCTTTCTAATATAATTCAGTGTTCATGTCCTTTGTAGTATATGCTGCCAGTCTGGCAGTATTTTTTTAAAAACAATTTCATTATTAGGATATAACAACATGTCCAATATTAAGCCATTTCACCTTTCTTAATATATCCCTTTTCCCAATCACCCTCCCTCCCCTGCTTCAGGCTTCCCGCAGCGCTCCCACCCCCACCATGTCCCGTTCTCTTGTTCTTTCCCTTCTCTTAAACAATACTTAAAAGTTCACGGTTTCTTTTGCTACCTTTTTCATAATTTTCAACCTTGTAGGTATTTAGCCATCTGTGCTGCTGAGCTTAGCTGGCCCTACCTCTGACCCCAGTTTTGAAAGATGTTTTTGTCCCAAAAGCTGGATCATCTCATTGCGCTCTCACCTCTCCCTTGTGCTATGTTTTCCTGACACGTTCTGTTCTTGCCAGGACTTTGGAGAGCAGGTGCTATGAGATCTGTCCAGTATGAATCTTGCCTTAAATGCAGAACAAGATTGACATTCTGTATCCTTGTTATGCAGTAAAGGTTGTTTGTGTGAGACATTCTGTATCCGTTAACGCAGATCATTTATCTCTATTTAATACTCCTCTTTTGCTTTCAAGGCAATAGGGAAAAGCTGTGGCTTGGTGGAAGAGCCTCTGCTTTGGATGCAGAAGGTCCCAGGTTCCACTCTCAGCATCTCCAGTTATAGGTCCAGGCAGGAGATGATGTGAAAGACCCTGGAGAGCTGCTGCCAATCAATCAATCAATCACATATCTTTTAATGGTATAGCAATCGCTGCCAGTCATAAGAACACAAGAACATAAGAGAAGTGAGCTAGCTCACACTAACTCACCTTAGGGGGAACACTGCTCACAGCTGCTTCATGTATTTCCCCCCTTCTCTTTCCTATCAAAGCAATGAGTGCAATGGTATTGCAACATATTGCACCTTCCCCACAACTGATAGCAAATTATATGAAGTAGGACAAATCAATACACAGTGCTATAACGTCTTTGTGTATACTTGACATTATCAGAAAAAGAGGAGAGACATGGAACAGGAGCAAGTCCATTACTTTTGTAATGTCTAGTTCTGCCATTATTTAGTACCAACATGTTGCTTTGTTCCTATAAAGACTGAATTCTAGCCAGTTTAGGTATAGCAGAAGATAGCAAATGCCAGGTGTGTTCTCCTCTTTGATGATGTATAGATCTTGGAAGGTATTCTAATTCCCTTATATCAGTAGTAGTTGCAGTAACTAGTGAGGTTCAACAGGCACACTATCAAAACCAATTGACGAGGAACCCAAGACTTCCCTCCCCCTTTTAAATTATTTTTAAGACATGAAAGGCCTGAAAAGTTGAATGCATATTGTTATGTTTCTTTCTAATATGATTCAATGTTCATGCCTTTTGTAGTATATGCTGCCACTTTGGCAGTATTTAGCCATCTGTGCTGGTGAGCTTAGCTGGCCCTACCTCTGACCCCAGTTTTGAAAGATGTTTTTGTCCCCAAAGCTGGATCATCTCATTGCGCTCCCACCTCTCCCTTGTGTTATGTTTTCCTGATATGTTCTGTTCTTGCCAGGGCTTTGGAGAGCAGGTGCTATAAGATCTGTCCAGTATGAATCTTGCCTTAAATGCAGAACAAGATTGACATTCTGTATCCTTGTTATGAGGATACCCTGAGAAGACCCTGATGCTGGGAAAGATTGAAGGTCAAAGAAGACGGGGACG